ATCTAAGAAAGGGAGCGAACCGGCCGTTTCCATCTCCAGCGCCATTAGAATTCGTATTAGTTGCAAGTTGACTGAGAAAAACCAACGATATTTGGGAAATTGAGCGAGATGAAGAGAGAGAGAGAGAGAGTGAGTGAGAGAGAGAGAGATTGGTTGCATGCAAAACGGCCAGTCGCTGCTAGTCAAACAGAGCAAGCATTAGCAACTAGCTACACATTGTAAGTAGTCTAGCTATGTGTATCTATTGTGCGTCGTACAGTGATTGCGCGCGTGGCTGGTAAGTAGGAAACCCGATTCGCGTCGAGTCTACACATAAATCAATGCAATCAGGAGAAGGTTTCAACGTCAGTAAGCAGGGCGCTCTACGCTGCAACCACTATGTTTTTAAAAAAATCCTTCATACATTTACCCCTGCTTTGTCTGTTTGTTGGTTACGGGGATGACCGCGCAAAATGTGCGTGTTAACTGGAGTGAGGAAATCATTGGGGACAAAGCAACCGCCCAGGTCATTCATAATGCGGAACGTTGGCATAAGATGACGCATAGTTGCCTTTAGGAAACAGAAAGCATTTTGGGATGAATGCTTCCTGTCCTTTGACTTCATTGCCCTGTTTTCTTCCATACAACACAACTTGGCAATTGAATGCGTAACCCAACGCCTACAGAGCAATCCTATTGAGATCCCCACGCGGTATGTTATAGAATTGCCAAATCTTTGCCTTAGGAACTATTGTCAATTCGATAATAGGTACTACTAACAGGTAAAGGGAACTCCAATGGGCTCACCGATATCAGGACCGCTTGCCGAACTAGTGTTGCAGCGACGAGAAGAGATAGTTTTCCAAACTATCAAGCCAAAACTATGGCTTCGCTACGTTGATGACATCTTTATCATAGTAAAGAACTGCGACGTCGAACGGCTTCAACAGAGACTTAATGACGTCTTTCCAAGCATACAGTTTACCCCTGAAGAGGCGATTGGAGACTGCTTGCAGTTTCTGGACGTGAGGATACAGAAGTTGAGCGAAGGTAGCCTAGCAACGAGCGTCCAATGGAAAGACTCTAATTCCGAGATTATCCTCAACTATGGAAACAACCACCCTGCAGCTCACAAAAGAAGCTGCGTCTGAACTCTGTTCCACCGGGCCTACCGTTATTGCAACTGCAGCGATCTCCTGAACAATGAGCTTGCTCACCTGTATTGGTTATTCCGCTTTAACGGATATCCGATCAGTTTTGTAAAGAACTGCCTCAAGCACCAGACACAGTCGCAGGACCCCACCCCCAACAGGAGATTATGACACAAAAATGCTGCTCCTTGTCATATATTTGTGGAACTTCTGAAATAATCGCCCAGCAGTTCAACCGCTTGGGTATTCACGTTGCCCTCAAGCCTGCATTTCACTACGCGCAGCACTATTTCGAGTGGAGGATCCCATCCTCAAAGAGCAACAAACGAATGTGATTTATCGCACCCCGTGCACCAATTGCTCTTGCGTGCATGTTGGCCATACGGGTCGACGCCTGGGCACTCGTATCAATTAGCACAAATTGGTTATCCATCGGCGAGACCCCCTGTCCCTCGTCTTTGCCCATGGACTCGAGTACGAAGACCGATTTAATTGGGATGGCACTGAGGCCGTCGCCATGGCTAACGCAAAGCGAGCGAGGGAATTTCTCGAGGCTTGGTAATCCAATGCGGGTAGTATCAATCGCCACGCTGACTTAGACGCCCATTACGAGGGTCTACGTTCACAACTGATTGTCCCCTGCCCTAATCACGCATCAACGACCGTGAATACAACTGCCCGCATCCTAACTGATTCACCACCCACCCTCCCCCTCCAGCACAGTGTGCCGTAGTTGTTCCGCCTCCTCTCCCCTCCCCCCCTCACCCAGCGATCTACCATGACCTCGGGAGCCCACCTCCATTCACACGTCAGTGGTCCGTCTGTCCTATCACACCAACTGGTCTACTGTGACAACCTAATATTCTCCCTTGTTATCATTTCGTCTGACGACGGGTTGGTGTCACCAGCTAGAAAATTCACAAGTACAACTCGATTTTTCCTAAGAGCCTCTACTAATTTTCATATATATGTATAAGTTGTAACATATTATATATATATATAAGGTTCGTAATGTATGCAACATATATAAAATATATTTTCTGGTTTTTGTCGCCGGAAAATATCCTTACATCTGTGATTCAGAAACGTGTTCAAATGCAAACTCATGACAAGTCAGACGTATCACAGAATTATGCCGCATATTATCCTTTCTAATTGTAAATTCATCTCAGTATGTCCTGTGGCATTTTATCAGGTATGTCACCTACTACATAACTCGGGTCCGGCAACGCGCTATTTTAAGCCCTTCAGTATCCAAGTATTAAGCATGGTCCATGTCCGTATGTTAATGCTCGTCACGAAGTCCACCACGAAGTCCGCATATATCGCAAAATTCTGTGAACACTTCAATGTATATTCTAAAGATATAAATGTATACGATTTTCTTAAGATGGTAGTATACGCATTGTAGACGGATGACGTTAAACAGAAATGCATCTGCTTCTCTGGCTGAAACTTATCCCGAAATAGGAAAATGTTTTCAGTAAAACAACATATTTGATTTCTTTGGGCATATCATGTGCATATGACGTGATTCTATGACAAGTTTGTGTATTTCGAACATTGTTTCTACAAAATACGAAGGCATATGCATGGACATGCAAAGCCAGTACGAATAGCGATAGTTCTGAGCGTGAATCCGAAACGACAGGCGCACGAGGATTTTGTTCCAGCGATTACTTCTACCTCATATGAACCAGTTCCAGGAATTAGCATCTTCGCTTGACTTCTAATTTAGTAATCATTTTTTGCTGATGGCAGCATTTACGAATGGATGATAAGAGATACAATCAACGGCAAGCAGTTAAACGACTTTGGCATATAGAACGATGATATCGCGTGATCAATAATATTCCAGCACCACATAAGAACTTTGTCCTAATGCAGGATGCATTTAAGAAACTCGGCTAGCATGTCATGAGATTGGCCACTGGCTGTAAGTAAATTCCGCTACAGTGATGACTCATTTCTTCTCTCGCCCTTGACGATTACCCCCTCCATATCCGCTTGCCTTTGACGCGGACAAGGCGAGACGACATCGTAATTTCCACTAGGTATTCAAGCTCACGGCTCAAGTCAGCTGGTGTTTTGAAATTTTTCAATAATTTCCTTTGTCCATTTGTGCACACGTTGGCGTTTGTGCAGAGATTCGAAACTACGAACGCAGTTAACGGCTTGAGTACAGGCAATGCTCAAACAACCTAAATTACGATATTCTGCCGGGAGCCGTGAAACAAATAAACTACTCAGATCTCAAATAACACCCCCTAAGTAAAAAGGTCTCACATTCGGCCGACGGATGATAGATTATCTGCTTATAGAAATATATGTTGACGCTGGTGTGTTTGGTAGGATTGAGAAGCTATTGTTGGAACAAGGGATGTTTTTGTCTGTCGGTCTCTCGCTTGAAGACATCATCGGAGATAGTGACTGAATGGAGTTGGTGAATTTCAGATGTTAAAGACGTCAGTTCGGGAAACCCGGTTAACCTGTGCGGAAAATTACATTCCTCGGTGGAGTCACGTGAATTATTACCTGATGGCGTTGTCAGTGCTCGAGTATGGACTAATTGTTCTGGGTTCGAATCGCGCCTATGCCGCAACTCAGCTATAGGAACACTTAAATTTTTGAAATTGCCGACTGATTCCACAACTAACACCAAGAATAATTTTAACATCCTTGAATTCACACTACGCCTATTACCAGATTGCTTACAATAAAAACTTCGAACCGAGTTTCGGATGTTTGATGCCGGACATTTCCGGGAAAGCTACTAATATTACCGGCACCAAACAAGAGACCAACGAAAGAGATGACCTATCGTAACATAATGGATGCATCCTTTTTGAATAAAGAACAAACAGCGGACAAATCTTTCCGTACATTATTGGCGCAAAATGGTATTTTGAGATTTATAACAATTTTCCCCATCGATAGAATGTATTCTGTAATCATTCTTTTCTGTGAGTACATTATTTGCTTTTTTCATAAGTTCCACAACCTGGACCTACTCGTGCATTTTACAACCGCGTCCATCGGGAAACCGCCTAGGTTTGTGCTTTAGGTAGTAATTTAACATGAAATACGAAGTCTGAAACATGTGTGTGTCTATTTTGGTTTCAACCCTAAACCCACACCGTTAAGTATAACATGTTTAAAAACCAAACTCCCATAATATTAAAAAAATCACATAATATCTGCAATCCACCGCGCGTTGTCTGAAACGTTTATTCTAAAAAGAAAAGAAAAATAAATTGTCTTAGATAATTCCTCAATTAAATTAACGTCTTATAACGCCGTGTAATAAATCCTAATGGGACGCTCAATCGGCATAGCAAAACTATTATCCAGGATTATATGCATTAACGCTTATGAGGCACGCCTCAGCCACCTGTCCGCTGCAAGCGTATAAACGCAGCAGTAGCCGGATGAAATGACAGCTAACGTGCACAATCCAGTTTCTGAATGAGTCGATAGTTTGAACACATAACGGTAGGTTTGCTTTCTTTAAAAATTCTACGTAAACTTGCTATTATTCAAAAAATAAACAGGAATTCTTAAGTATGATTATCTGTCTGTCAACTTGGCAAGGCAGTCCTTTGAGCATATGCAACATTTAAGTTAAAAACAAAGCCTCAGAATGTGCTCCGACTTTGAAATCTGAATATCTCATATCACCTAACATGCAATTTGTGAAGCATGTCTTCAGACCGTCGAAGGCATTTCCTGCTTCCGGATTGCTGAAGAATTTGGCTTTCGTACAAATGCCCCCATTGGGACAGAATGTTGCTGTGCTCTCCAAGCTATCCTCCACTTGACGAGAAAAAAACGGTCCATTACGACATCAAACCCATGAACATAAGTAAAATACTAGCGCACCGATAACAACTCACGTTTTGTCCAGCCATCGCATTTGAAGGCGCATTTATTGAAGTTATTGAAGGTGCCGTTTATTCGCTTTATGTCAAGGCATGAATCTGTGGTTTCCGAGCACATTTCGAACTTGTCTTCGGAGCTATGTTCAACTAAAAGTCAACCATCATTTGCATGTTAGACCCGAATGTCGGATTTTAAGATTAAATAAGCACATGCAAAGGCATGCCTAGCGAAGATGCAAGAGGCTATGAATACTTCTAAAAGGAAATTACACGAAAGACTAATGAACATTAGGGCTTTATACCTTTCGCGGTAAAGTGACACAATTTGACGCACATGGCGTGCCTTTCAATGTTTTCTGCGTATCCACTTCTTCCATAAACCGTGTACGGATGGCAAGGTCTGTTGTATTCTTCGCAGAAGTACACTGTCATCTGCTCATTTAGGTCCCCTAAAGAAAAGACATAATTTGTTACTTTTGCCACCAACTCTGATAAACAGTTAGCTTGCGCTCAAACGCAGCATTAATCAGGTCGAATTAGCATATAGAAGGAGAGAATGCAATTCTGTAGGGCGAACCTCGTTGTCTTGCACACGCCGCACGACAGCCTGCGCCCTTGGTCTTGTCTTCAGCTCTGTAGTCCACAAGTTCGCATTCTCTATTTTGCTGTTTGCACAGTTCATAGACTGGTGATCTGCCAATGTATGCTAAAAGGAAGGAGTATTAAACCATGGGTTATAGTCGGCGATTGAAATGGCTAGATTATTTGCATTTTTCTGTGCGTATCGTGAATGAAAACTGCTGCGGACAATTTGTTGGATGTAAAGTTTACTGCTAAATATCCTCAAATCTACCATAATGCGCTGCCTAATGCAGATGATAATTGCAAGGAAATCTCAGCACTTGCCAAAAGCGACAGTAACTAGAAGCGTGAAAGCCTGAAGGACGGCCAAACAGCGAAGCGTTGACATTGTGGCCCACATTCTCCGAAACAGTCTGTATATGAATGAATATGCACCGTTTATATAGTCAGATTTTAGCATTCCCTGACATCCCATTGGGTATTCACTTTAAGGCATTTATGATTGGCTGATGCTGCTAGTGTGTATTAGTACTTCCAAAGGACATGTAATCATGGCAGTTTTAAAGTCATATTGTTACCTGTCTTGCGCTTTTTTTCCATATTTACTTACCCTAGAAAAGAACACCGCAATCATGTACGCTTCCTTGTCACAAATGCGTTCTACAAAGTGCAGCAATGCCACACCATACAATCAACAGATGGGGAATGTGCGTTAAGGCAAAAACAGAAATTTGAAGAAAAAGATGCACTCGCCCGAACAAGTTTAGTTGAATGCTGATGTATCGAAGAGCATGATCGGTTATACATTTTGAAAGCGTAAAGGCGCTTAATCGACCAGACTCCCAACATGCATGTAATGTTTAGCAACGTCATGCTGATCGGGTTTTCTCTCTTCTTGCTGCCTTGGCCTATCGGCGGAAGATTAATGGATTTTATCTGTGCCCTCGTTGAGTGGGGCGCAGGTGATTAAACCTTCGTCGAGTGGTTGGTCTGGAGATGCTTCTTCTACATCATCGAGTTAACTGGCCATTGGGCTGTCTCCGTATGGCTTTCGTAATTTCCAGTGGGGTTGTTCGGTCCTCAAATCTACGATTGTCATTACGTAGGACTTTGTATATTGCTGGAAGGTTCAGATGCCTGCTGATTATGATGCAGACATTAGTGTAACGCGTCTCGTGTGTTAATCGTTCTGCTTTCGTGTTGCATCGGCCATTGATGGTTGTTCTCTGGTGATCGAATGAATGCCCAGTTTATCCAACGTGGGGTGCTATTTGAGAGTTTGGATCTAACCTCCGTGTGGCCTATTTGTGCTCCTGTAGGCGGGTGTGCATATTTTAGGCTCTTGGTTCTCGGTGTGATTGAATTTTTCATTTGGCAGGCACGGCATTGTTTCAAGGAATGCTGGTCTTACACTTTTTTTCTGGTAATCCGGTTAGTCCGATCAGAAATCGGAGACAAGTGGACATATCGGTCGTGAGACTACTGACGGGACTCGAAACAGAGCCCATAATTCAGCGGCATAATCGTCTGCATGTTCTGTATTCAATTCTATGATTTTCTGCACAGTTAAGTCGTGGGACATAAGAGCAGGCATGGGAAATTGCTCTCTTCATTGATGCAAAATCACAGCATACATTAGCATCCTTTAAGCAAACAAGCACATTGGACGTGGTCGAGGATAATTTATCAGCCTGGTCGTACTTCAACAACCTGCATTTAAAAAGCCTGCTCTATATACATATGTCGAATTCTCACACACGCGCGGACATATTCATTGTCCTTATTTCCCGTGAAAATGCGATTCCCAGGTGGCGTATCAAAAGGGAGGACATATTAATATATCCCTGTGAACGCCAATTCGTCGCCGTTTGATGCAACCCGAAGACATACTGCCACCCACTGAAACCTCAGCAGTTGGCTATCGAATACGTTGTAACGATGGAAACTGCAACTACGTTGGGGAAACCGGACGGAAACAGCAGAACCGCCTACATGAGCACAAACTAGCAACTCGGGGACTCGACCTAAACTCACCGCTTTCGGCTCACTTTGGGGAAACTGGTCACAGTTTTGATTTTCAAACAGCAGCCGTCTTTGGCTGGGGCACCTCAAAGACAGAGCGTCTCACACTTGAGGTTTGGTACTCAGATGTCAACTTCATCAACATGCATCTAGAACTTCCTTCGGCCTATAAAGTCCTACGTCACTGCATACGACGTGACGAAGTCTAGACAGTTATACGGAGCCTAAGTCGGCCTGTCGACCAATTCACCCAAAAGGTGAAGGCAAACACAACTAACCCCAATTTAGGTGACGACACACAACAAAGGAAACCACCAACACTCACAGGCGACGGCCAGTAGGCCAAGGCGGCGAAAGAAGAAAAACGTCGATCAGCCCAAGGCCAACTAATCCGCCTCTTCATTGAAAATTATCATCGACTTTTCACTAGACGCTTTGATAATGGACAGCCGCCCCAGAACTTCGAAACAACAGCCGAACATGTCGATCGATCCGGTGAGCACCTCATTTTCCTGAGGTCTTCCTTGCATCCCAAAGGCAGCGCATGAGGACCAACTCTCAGGCGTTTTAAAGCATAGTTTTCCTTTCGAGCAAAAAGTGACGTACATAGAATCTACCCACATTCACGCTGATTTCGTCAGATGCTTCGTCTGCAGGTATCTTTGGCTCAAATCATCGCGAGAAAAATCTCCCTTATTTTCCCATCCTCATTTCCGTGCCGTTGATGTAATCGGATCCGAATATATCTAAGGGCCAATTTGGTATACGACACTATCTAGCAGAGACTGACGTGATTGTTGGCAATTAAATCATGCAAGTGTGTGTTGGGACCATGGGGCGAGAGTAAGTGCTCTGAGCGCTACTATTATCATCAGGCTAATTCTACTGTTGGTATGAGAGAGGCAGAAAGGCACCAGTTTGAGGAGTTTATTGTGCACAGAACTCGGGTTGTACTCTCAGGCGGCAGTGGCCACTGGCGAAGCCAGGGCTGGTGTTGGCTGCATCCAGTCATGCCAGAGAGTCCTTGAGATGGTGGTGGCAGCCGCTTTTGTAGGCTCATGGGCCAAGCTCAAGTGGTGTCCAGTCAGTGTGTGTTGCATTTGCGAAGGGGTGGTGTCCCAGTGGCTTGTTATGCTGGTTGCAGGGGTGGAGCATTCGAGTGGCGCATGCGTAGCTGCGACGCTGTGTGGACGTAATTGTGTCCGAGCTGATGTCGGTCGAGTGGCTTCAGGTCAGGTCGTCTGGGACGGCTCGCTGCAAGGGATGAATGACCTGGAGGCAGCGAGGACTCGAACAATGACACCGGACCAGTCATGATGGCTGGCCGCCACAAGTGTATCGTAAGTGATTAACATGCGATGATTATTTGCGTTTATTTCTGTTTATGGTGGATGCGATGACATCGGAAAAAAAATATACATTAAAAATTCCGCCATTCAGTTCGAATTTGTCACAAAGACTGTGTGGTTGTATCTGGCGAAATATGGTCAAACATATTGCCGTTGACAAAATGAGATACATTATTGAGATTGACTTCAGTATATTCAGAGGTTTGCACAGCGAATTTGAACCTCAATGACAGGCCACAAACCTAGGTTCTACGATCTCACTGTTACGATGCATTAGAATTCCCCTTAGCCCAGAACGCCACAAGGGGTTGGTATTTATCTGCACTTTAATTTCGTCGCTATTTTCTCTCGGCTGTTCTGTTTGCACACAACCACTCTCCTCCACTCTAATTTTCCTTGCATCTGCGACCCTGAAAGATTTTCTTATGTAGTCTGTAAAATGGAATTATCATTCCTTTACAGGCAGAATAGACAGTGCACCTAAGCTCATGTCTGGCATTGTATCCTCGTACATTAATATTATTCAAAAAGCGTCGCGGCTAAATTTTATTTTCCTAACTCAGCTAAATTTCAACACCGCCCAAGCATATATTTGTTAACGCGCCCATGCTACTCATAAACGGTATCTATAAACGGTGATTAAAACGTGGTTGTTCAAAAAGCATAATAAGAAGGTTGGGAACGTGTCGGACATCTTAATCGGCCTCTTTATTATTTAATATTTCCCCAACTTAAAATAATATTAGAACGCTTCACGAGGAAAAAGGCCTTTCCAGGAACATTGAATTTTACCATAAAGCCACTAGAGCTGCCTTTGGTTGGGCGTTTCCAATAATGCGTTTCCTTCTGAACCGAAAACAAATACTGTGGGCGGTTTATTCACCAATCGTTTGTCATTCACTCCAAAAAGAGAATATCTTAGGCAAAACCCGCAGGTAATTGACGGCCATTGTGTATGGAATGGCTGAGCAAAAATATAGACCCGGTGTTATTTTGTCTGCAATCCATGGAGTGCATTTGCGTGTTAGGTGGTGTGTGAGAGCAGTTACGCCAATAAACTCATGTCACTCCAATCTGGACTCATTCCAGGAAAAAAGGACTATCGAACGGCCAACTCCGCCAATGGCTGTGTCCTGAAATCGTTATATCTCTGGCAGGTGTAATTGACAATCACACGTTTTTATGATCTCTGAGCAAACGTGCGTGGTCTCGCAATTTGTCTCGTCATATGTTATGCGAATTAAACTCATAAAAAAGTTCGAGTTACTGACATTCAGAAAATTCACGAAAAATCGCATTAACTGTTTTGCAGGACGAATTGACTAAATGCATGTAGCTAACAAGCAGGACTGGTTATGTCGTATCTCGCTGTGGAAGATAAGTTGCAACCGTTCGCGTTTTGAAATTTGACCGATGCACCGCCATTTTGTAATCACATCATTCTGCCTACTCTGTTTATTTATAAGTAGCATGTGTATGGTTTTCAAAAACCGTATATTTTTCATTTTGCGGTAAATTAAATGGTATTAAGATTGTGTCTTATCTCAGAACACATATATGTCATTATTTTAATTCAGGTGTGCAATGCTCCCATATAGCAGTGAAAATAAGTACACTGGTTTCTTTGGGAGAGCTTCATGATGTAACAATTTTTAAATGGACTGAATTTTAAACACCCTCTCCCCCCAGTTTTTGTAAACAATATCAGTGAAATCTTTTGCAAATGGGAATTTTGAAAAAGCCTCCTGCTTATATTTGGAGCGCGTCATCTAGCCTGCCTGTATTCTGAATTAGTTTATTATGCCTTAGCCTGAAATTTTTTTGAAATTTTTATGAGGGAAATGGTTTTTGAGGAAATTGAATCTTGTTAGGTAGCAGCGAGCAGTCATTTGCGGCGTTAGCGACGCCAGTCCCCTTGGCCGCGAAAGCCAATCAAATAGGAGCAATGAGAGAATGTCGACAGTCTGTCTTAGAGTCGGCTTTTGCTCCTATTAGGGCCACCAGACTGGAAAAATCTGTTCGGCATATATCCTTAATAAACATCTTAGAATCTAGCATCTGGTTCGTGAGAACGGGAATCCTGACATATTGATTGTATGGGACCTTGCCAAATGACCGAAAAATCTTATCATGCCGACGACGGAAAATAAAACGCTGTTCCTCAAAGTCCACTTTTATGGAGACGCGGCCAGTGGACTCCTAAGAGGGCACCTTATCGAAGGCGTTTTACCGACCCGTGGGCAAGGATCGATTAACTGTATGCCTGTTTCTTCTACCATCCCCATTCATTCCCACTTGGAAATCGGCCCCACCTAAAAGTCACTGTCCGTTACTGACGTCCCTCCTTCCCCCCCCATTCCTACTCTATTCACATAACGCGTTTGTTTGAAAAGATTAAATGTAATCGATTACTATTATTGCCACACGTTTCAATTCGTACCAAGTTCCAGGCCCGATGAGATCTCCGTATGCCAGGCCTCAATTGTTTCAATTGCCTATGTGGTCCTTTTCTCGGCTCAGAATATCGGCATTCTGAAATGATAAGGTCTGCTCGGAATCGGTGCAGTGTTCTGCTGCCCTATACAAAATGTCTATCCTCAATACTGCCCTTATGTGTTCTCCAACACGGGTCTGTATTCGTTTGTTGGTCTCCTTAATGTAGGTAGCTTTGCAGGAGTCACACTGAATGAGGTAAATGACGTTCGTGGTTTCTTCACATGGCAAAAGTGTCTTAGGTCTCTTGACCAGATGTCGAATTGTCGACACCGATTGGTGGTTGATGCCCATCCCCAGCGGTCTTAAGAGAAAACACGCCGCCCCACCCACCTTATATTAGCCGTTCTGTCGGCAAACGTCGGCTTCGTGCGTCCTGTCTGTCGCGTTCGCTGAATTTGCGTGGATAGCCGTTGCCACGCAGAGGCGCTCGATGTAGCATAGTTCTGACCTTCTGTCGTCCGGCTCGCAGCAGTGTTTCTGCCCTTCTGTGGTGTGCTTGCACATAATAGCGTTTGTGGCATAAAACTAAGCTTACTGTGGTAGCACAGAATTTGGCATATACTAGTAAGTTTCTTATAAGTCAGCGGCTGTGGGCGTCCAGTGGGTTTTCAATTAACAAGAACGTGCAGGAACGACAGTTGGTTGCTGATTCCCGCCTCCATTGAGGACTCGATGTCAGGAAAAACAGAGTGCAGGACAGCATTGAATTCTTGGACCATTTCGCGCTTCATGATAACAAAGGTATCATCAAACGTAGAATTCAAAATTTCGGCAAATGGATTGCGAGAACTGCCTCTGCGATGATGCCCGAGTGGTGATCCATTGGCGTACCCTTGACCTGCTTGTAGGTTGCAACTTCGATGATGAAGTACGTCCTCAGGCAGAATCTCAGTAATTAGACGAGACGTCTTCGTTTTACCGTCAAGCCCGTCCCGTTCTACTGACCCTCGAGCAGCTCGCTGACCGTTTCGATTGCCAGGTCTTGCGGAATTTAAGTGAAGAGGGAAGTGACGTCGAATGACACTGACCTGGTGTTCGGTGAGTGCCATTTTCTGAGCGGCTACACGAACTTAGCCGCGGACCAGCCCCGCGTGTATTCGTCCGAGATGAGAGACCCCTGTTTGAGAAGCAGTCCTTTAGCCAGATTTAATTTTCAGAAGACGAGGTGGCGAGCGTACATATCTTTCGATAAATTCTCATTCACGCGTCGCGTCTTCTTGGAAAGGGACTTTGAGGAACAAAGTCTTCTTTTCAACGGTCAGTGTGACGGGTTTGACCGGTCTTTCGGCAATGTTCTTTGCAATGAACCTGTCAGGATACCCGTTTTCGCGAAGGAAGTCCTGGGTTTTTTCTGATCTCCTCCTCGATGCTATCTGTTGAGCAAATTTTTCTAGCTCTTTGTGTCAAACATCGGACTAGATTTCGTTTGCGTTGCAGCGTATGAAACTGGCGAAGTTCGTGTATTGTCCAGACCAGGTTTTCTTCCGATAGACGCTTATTCGGACACTCCCGCCAGGTCTCCTGCTTAGAAGAACATCTAAGAAAGGGAGCGAACCGGCCGTTTCCATCTCCAGCGCCATTAGAATTCGTATCAGTTGCAAGTTGACTGAGAAAAACCAACGATATTTGGGAAATTGAGCGAGATGAAGAGAGAGAGTGAGTGAGTGAGAGAGAGAGAGATTGGTTGCATGCAAAACGGCCAGTCGCTGCTAGTCAAACAGAGCAAGCATTAGCAACTAGCTACACATTGTAAGTAGTCTAGCTATGTGTATCTATTGTGCGTCGTACAGTGATTGCGCGCGTGGCTGGTAAGTAGGAAACCCGATTCGCGTCGAGTCTACACATAAATCAATTCAATCAGGAGAAGGTTTCAACGTCAGTAAGCAGGGCGCTCTACGCTGCAACCACTATGTTTTTAAAAAAAATCCTTCATACATTGACCCCTGCTATGTCTGTTTGTTGGTTACGGGGATGACCGCGCAAAATGTGCGTGTTAACTGGAGTGAGGAAATCATTGGGGACAAAGCAACCTCCCAGGTCATTTATAATGCGGAACGTTGGCATAAGATGACGCATAGTTGCCTTTAGGAAACGGAAAGCATTTTGGGATGAATGCTTCCTGTCCTTTGACTTCATTGCCCTGTTTTCTTCCATACAACGCAACTTGGCAATTGAATGCGTAACCCAACGCCTACAGAGCAATCCTATTGAGATCCCCACGCGGTATGTTATAGAATTGACAAATCTTTGCCTTAGGAACTATTGTCAATTCGATAATAGGTACTATTAACAGGTAAAGGGAACTACAATGGGCTCACCAATATCAGGACCGCTTGCAGAACTAGTGTTCCAGCGACGAGAAGAGATAGTTTTCCAAACTATCAAGCCAAAAATATGGCTTGGCACACGGGGACAACCTCAATCAACCGTAGTGTGGCTCTTCCCGCTGCCAATCAAGCCCTTCGGGCGCAGCTCATTAAACAAATGAGCAGACGTGAACTCAGGCAAAACATGAATCTAGACATGAGCGAGTCCATGGCGGATACACAGTCAGCCACCCCTCAACCGGCTTCCAACGATGGCGCAGTCCTCACCACAGCCGCCCCATCTACTAGTCTGGCGGACGAGAAAACGGACAGTCGTTGCGGCGTAAACAAGATTATCAGGCTTGGACGACAGCTACGGTCAATGAAGGTACGAACGACGACCATCCATGTCTCAACGCCGGCCCCCGATGTAGATTGAGTACATTCCGTCACCCTGCTTCCCTTCCTCCCGCCCGCCACAATTCATGTGTGCATGCGGCTGGTGACCACTAAAGCTGATCCACCACCCCCTCATTCGGTGAAAAGACGCTCTAGGACTCCCTACCCGCCCCTTCCTCCCTGCCGCCCTGACTTCATATGTAAGAAAACCCGTTTTGAGATGACTGTCACCCACCTATAAATACTGTGAGGCGCGATACCACATTCACACCCGACAATGGAAGCTTGTTTGCTTTTGAAACGCCAGGACTGTAAAACTATGGTGCCCGAGATCGCCTTTTCTTCTCATTTATGTCCGGGGACGCGCATCTTCGTGTCTATTAGCAATATTTTCGAGGGCGCGAAGCGCTTGAGTCTGCACGACCTTGGGAAATATTCACCCTTCGTGTGTCTTCTGCGTACGCGGAAATACAATTCCTCCACAGACGCCTTGACAATCATGTGCTTCCGAAGGGCCTGTCGTACAGGCCACCCGTGAACAGAACTCTGGCGAAACGGTCGGTAGCTGAACATGACAGACGAATGATTCGGGCGCTTCTTCAAGTTTGCCATCTTCGACTGCGTAAAAAGAACAGGGTTTTGAGCCTATCGGTTACAAAGTGCGTCGAACTCATCGGTGATGACGGAGTCACGCAGTTGCAACAAGTGATTAGTAAACGGGCCTGCAACCTGCGAGCAACAAGATATGCCGAGCTGGCGGTCAAGCTCCACGGCATAAGCAAATCATCTCAAGAGGAGAACGAAGTCCTAGTGCACAATATGTCCTCTAAGCCCCTGACTCCTACACAAATGAACGTCCTGAGTCAGGAGGCTTGCCTCAACACCACAGACGCCGATCCAGTCAATCTCGTGGCCACGGTTGAGTCGATTCTCAAACAAACTGGGCAATCCGACGAAACAAGCATCTCATTGGAAAGCAGGTTGCCTCCTTGGCGATGTCGCACAGACCGCGTGCAACTATTACCAAGGCCGAGCAAAGCGATTTCAATACACTGAGGGCTGACACCAGCATCGTGATTCTACCAGCAGACAAAGGCCGTTCCACGTTTGTGATGGATAAGTTAGGCTACATTCAGAAGGTCAATGCCCAACTGGAGGACCGACAGGCGTACCTACCATGTAACGATGAACCGATGAGGAGGCTGGTGACGCAACTGGACTGGACCCTCGCCGACATGCAAACGAGCAAGGCAACAAGTAAGTCAGTACGACTGGCCATTAAGCCAGTAGAAGTGCCCGCACCAAGGTTCTACGGACAAACAAAGGTACACAAAGCCGGGGTCCCCCTTCGGCTAATCGTATAATTGCACGGCGCAGCTAACTTCAATTTGGCTAAGTGGTTGTTCTAAAACCTGAGGTCTCTCACCTCGGACGCGGGCACGACGGTGTGTTCAGCGACTCAATTCCTGGAGTGGATCAAAGGGATGAGACTTACCGAAGACGAGGTCTAGTGTCATTCGACGCCACCTCTCTTTTCACCTCGATTCCGCAAGACCTGGCAGTCGAAACGGTCAGCGAGCTGCTCGAGAGTCAGTACGACGAGACGGACGTGACGGTCAAACGGAGACATCTCGTCCAATTGCTGAGATTCTGCCTGAAGACCTACTTTACCTTCAAAGACACGACCTACGAGCAGGTCAAGGGGACGCCAATGGGATCGCCGCTCTCGGGTTTCATCGCAGAGGCAGTTCTCCAAAAAGTAGAGACCGTCGTTTTCTCAACCAATAAGCCGAAATTTTGGACTCGATATGTCGATGATACCTTCGTTATCATTAAGCGGCAAATGGTCAAGGAATTCCATGATGTTCTGAACTCTGTTTTCCCTGACATCCAGTTCACAATAGAGACTGAAGCCAACAATCAACTGCCGTTCCTGGAGGTTCTCGTCCATCGAAAACCCAATGGGCACCTTAAAACGACGGTATAAAGGAAGGCTACTAAACATGTAAGATTTTTGCTCGCGTATAAACATTTGCTGTCTACCATGCCCTTTTTATATTTTAGCCTCGAACAAGGAAATCCTTTGCGGTTGAATCGTCTCCTATCAGGCTATTTTAAGCCCTTCAGTATCCAAGTATTCAGCATGGTCCATGTCCGTATGTTAATGCTCGTCAAGAAGTCCACCACGAAGTCCGCATACATCGCAAAATTTTGTGAACACTTCAATGTATATTCTAAAGATATAAATGTATACGATTTTCTTAAGATGGTAGTATACGCATTGTAGACGGATGTCGTTAAACAGAAATGCATCTGCTTCTCTGGCTGAAACTTATCCCGAAATAGGAAAATGTTTTCAGTAAAACAACATATTTGATTTCTTTGGGCATATCATGTGCATATGACGTGATTCTATGACAAGTTTGTGTATTTCGA